ATCTGTGAAGAGAAATCAGAGTTAATGTTTTGGGTCCACTCTGATTTCTCTTTCCAGATGCTGCCAGACCTGCTGAGCTTTTCCAGCAATTTCTGTTATTGTTCTTTACATGATGGTTCTGAAATAATTAAACCATTCATGGTTTATTGTTGTCTCGATTGTAACTGAAGAAAAAGAGGATTGAGTTTTAATTAACGCTTGGAAAATCTATTTGACAGAAGGAAAATAGAATAGGCAGAATAATTCAGTCAGTGACATTTTTGTGTTTTTAACTTATACCGCATGTGTCTTGGTTTATACTGAAAGTGGGTGAGTCATGTTGTGGAAATTGAGTCAGCTGTGTGGAGGGTATTTTGCACCTTCACTCTTGGGGCAGGAATGTGTCAGAATAGATCATCTACTTGTCATGGAAAGATGTACCTTGATGTTTGTTCCATTGATTCCAATGGCATAAAAAGTGGGCAGACACACTACTGCACCAGATTACTGTCTCGACCATAAAGGTGAACTTTTATTCCATGCTATTTTATAACAACAGGGATGTAATGATAGGTAGCACACAACATATTATCAAGGTCATTGATTTACTGTGATTGAATAAGTCAAAAACTTCAGTGCTTTTATGACTTGATGTTCTTGGATTTTAACCAATTCTTTTAGGGATTGAATAATCACAACTGTCAGATTTCTATGACACCTGCAAATCAGAGTCCTTGACTGTTTTATGTCCCTTTTCCAATCTGTACTCCATTGTTATCTATCATGATTTATAATGATAAGATACACAGGAAGGTTTAGCAAGATGGGGGAGGGCCTGTGGAAGTTTGGGATTTCTGGGCTGGGTTAGGAATAGATAGTGGGAAGGAGGTGCAGAGATTTGGGGAGCACTGATGAGAAGGAGTCTTAGCAATGGGGAGAACCAGAGGTGTAAAGTCATATATTGCAGAGGCACTGAGAAAATATATGAACAGTGTGGAAGGACATTTGTTCATCTGGAATGTTGCTGTTGTCTTAGAATATGGAATACATCTTAAATATAAAAGTCCAGCCTGGAATTTATGGCATGTAGGGAAACTGAGAGGACTGTTCCCATGGTTTGGTATAATAGGGCTCTTATGGAGATGAGAATCTCTTCTGTTTTTGAGCAGTTTGTCTGGTCTATGGAAGAAGTGGAATTGATCATAGGTATTGGACCAAAGGAGTGATGAACCAGCGCATGGCTGTAATGGAAGCTGGGTTCATGTTATGGGAGAAGTGAGAAGATATTTTCATGACCTGAGGACAAGTAGCCGTGTCGTAAAGTCAAACAACATTGAAGAAATTGAATCCTTGAGTTTCTTAGGAAGAAACTGAGAAGATACTTACATTCTAGAGATATTGAAAGGGGCAATATTCTGAATCAACTGGACAGCAAGGTCCTAGGGCCCTTGAGCAATTAACATAGAGGCAGAATTTGATAGCTTTAGAGAGGCAAGATCTGGGACCATTGGGAACAGGGGAATTTATAGGTAAATTGGTTCCTTTGCTTTTGGATGCTCCTGATCACCTGGTAGATGAGAATTAATTTAAATGGAAAAATTTGGCAGCCTCCATTATGGGCAAATGATGTACCTACCTGATTTACTTCTGTATGTATCACTTGCTTAGTTATATGTACCAAAGTGCAAAGAGATGAAAGTCTGCCCAAATTTCCCTTTTCTTCAGAAAAAAAAAATGACATTTAGAAGCATATATATTGTAAAAGCTGACACACTTGTGTGACCAGTGCGGTCATATTTGAAATCTGTTTGCTGAGTCTTTCTCTTTCTTTCTCACACACATTCACATGCATACAGTCTGAAAGTCCCTCCAATTTACTAAAAACTATTTTGAACCACTATTGTAAACTAACTGGTGTCGTTCACTAATGAGGCTTAAAATTGGATGGTCTCTAAACCAAACGTTCAACTCAAACATGTCGTGTTCTCACTGGGCAATAAATTTTACCTAAATCAAACTCTTGAAATTTACTCTCTAGCTTTTTCCCATAATTGCGTTAATCAACCATATATACTGTTGAAGGCTGATGCGTAATATATTTTTAGTTGGGTCAACAAAATGGTGCTAAAGAACTCTGAGAACTTACATACACTGTTTCGGCTCAAATGCAGAATTTCTCATTAGGTTACAGAACCATAACATTCAATAAAAACATTAAGTAAAATTAAAGGCACTCAGGAGAGCCTCAGGCCTTTAGGTAAGAACATTAATCTAGGTATTCAAAGAGAATAAAAAGGTAATTCAATGGAAATATAATCATGTCATTGTAAAATAGACATTTTGTGATGTTTTAATTTTAAAAATGTAATTTATAGGTTTATTAACTAACAAAATTTCAATTACTGGGACAAGAATAGAATGGCTGATAAAGAAAGAATTTGTGTTTATATTACACCTTTGTACACCTCAGAATATCCTCAAAACACTTCACAGTTAATTAATTGTTTTCAAGTTGAATTTGTGACTTTAGCTCACTAGATGAAAAAGGAGTAGCTTCAGATCAGGCAACTATTTTTCACCGGTCCAATTTTCATCTCCATTGCCTTTCACTGCCAGTAGATTAGGTTGAAAGCAGGGCTGGAGTCTGTTGCGGTATTTACATATCTTTCTTGTTTGGTTTAAGGCCCTCATCAAATCAGACTTTCATCACCCTGAGGTCAGTCAGTCTATTATTATTGTAAATGTAGATTTTGTGGTTAAACAAATTTATTGAATGACTACAAAATATCTAGTCATTCTACTGATGTGAATGTTATAATATTTCTACAATTTCTACATTAATCTAACAAACTGTATTCATAAACTAAACAGACTAGCAGTTTCCTAATCTGGAGGGCACTAAAAATGCAAAACAATTTAAACATACTGTGGATAGATTGCTTACTGGCCAAACAGCAAGGGATGCTGGGTACATTGGCCAAGTAAAACTTTGAAATCACAAAACCCACACACCAGACACACCGCAAACACAGCAGCCAAGTGCTAATGGCATTAACATAATGTAAAAGGCAACAGTTATTCTGGATAGACACCCCCAACAACTTATCCACTAAATGAAGGAGAGGTCAAACAGAAAAGCACCAGGTCCTGCTACACATAGAAACTGACAGTAGCAAGCCATCTAAATGATTGACTCTTGTTTCAACCTACTAAGTGTATCTCCCTGATTGGCCAGAACAATAGAAAGTTTCAGAAAACCATCTAAAAAGTATAAAAACAGAGTTCACCTGTAAATCTCTCTCTTGGAACCTCTCTTGGAACTGCTGTCAGAATCTTTGGAATCATCTGAGGCCTTCCAAGGAGACCAGCATGACAAGAGGCAGAGACCATTCAGAGAGAGAGAGAG